ACATTGTGTGTTAATGTTTACTGTAGATTCGATTCCAGAATTCCTGTGGTGCTCCAACACTGCGTTTTACATAGTATTCGTTGTTTTAACGAGGTTTTATTTATTTAATTGGCTCTCGCTTACTGAACGCATGCAAGTGATATTCGAGTACCCTGTACAACGTCCTTTAATTGGGGTTAATTCGAAAAACAAAGAGCTGATTGGTCGCCAAGAGAACAGCTTATTACTCACGCTGTGGCAAAAAATTGTGAACAAATTTTGCAGTTAAAATATTATAATAGAACTAACAACTTTTTCACCATATTGTAAATTAAAACTGCAAAACATTAAATACGAAATGCATTTTATAAAATGTTCAAAGTGCTCACCACATTGTACATAAACCAAGGTACCTTCGTATGTCCGAAATTTCTGTATTTCATTACGTTTCAAATAACTGACATTTGTAAGAACCGTTCTTGAATAACCATAAATTGTTTAAAATTGATATATTTCACTTCGTTTCTCTTTCATTCCAGAAACATCTCTTCAACTGAAGGCATCTCTTAAATGTAACATTTTCTTTTATCTGAAGGAAATTCTCTCGAAATAAAATGAAAATTAATTATTGTCATTTTTCCTTAGTACCGGTAAAGAAATAGACTTATGATTGTTGATTTTCAAATTACCATGATACTTCATGTCATCTTAGTTCCAAAAGAAATATCACATAGAATCTACCAAACTAAATAGGCCCAAATATAAAATATGATTAATTTGTCGTGACGTTGGGAGTTCAAATGACCAATCCTGAATTAGCTTCGACTATTCTATTCCTTGGTCACATTGTTTAATTCAGATTACAATGCAGATTGTATTGCTTATACAAGGGTTTCTGTACGTGAAATGTTATTTTTAAATGACATTTTTCGTTCAGTGCCTCAGTTTTAAGCAATTTTGTATTCACTTGGTGGGTTTGGAAATCAATTTCAGCGCACAACACTTTTTCTTCCATTAAAGGGATGACCAAGTAATGACTCGACGCAACGAATTTTTTTCTTCTCAACTATCGCTCTCAATTCTTTCATTCATTATTTCTATAAACCATAATGTGCAACTATATGTACTTGTGTATGATCTTTTTCATATTTGCGCCCTATTTTGCACTGAGTTTATTTCATTTTCGTTCAGTTAACTAAATATGCTCATTAATTCCATGAAAAATCGTTGATTATCACTGTGTTTATGGCATGCGTGCAATTAAAACTTAATCGTGCAATTAAAAGTTCACAACAGCCACTCAAAATTCTGAGAACTGATCGAAATTGTTTAATTATGTATCTATAACACAGACGTGTCCAGACAACCAAGAAACATGAACAAAAATGTACATCACATATTAAGAACATCGAAAAAGATAATCAGTGAACGTATGAAACAAAATTATAAACGAATAATTATTACTACCTCTTAAATCATGATGTTAATATTTGTAGCACAATTAGTTAAATTAGAAACTATTACCCTACTTTTTCTTGGCTAATCCTCGCCCAGAAGTGACTTTATACACAGATAAGTTTATTTCACGCATTTGAACGTGACGGTCTAGTGAGAGCATTTGTTTTGGTAAAACTCCTTAATTTGTTTGGAAAATCAAGTAAATTGCTTATAATTTAAAATGTTGATATACTCCTTGACACGCCACGTCTTCAACATAAACAGGTATTACCATAAGCATGTTGGTTTGACACTAGCTGACTAATGGAACAACATAAAATATTTACATGAATAAATGTGTTACACGTAAAACATTTTGTATTCGCATATTGCAAGATAAAAAATGTAACAGTCAGTTTATTTACTCGCTCTGAAAAGTACACCAGCAAAACGACTAAGTAAGAACTGAATCGTCTTTTTCTTTTCCAACATTAACACTTGTTGTTCTCTCATGCATGCCCTTACGTTTCGTACGAAGCAATGTTTTTATAGCTTTGTCAGCTTCTTCTAATATTTCAACTGGAATACTTTAATATTTTTGATTTTCTAATGTAATTATCAAACAATTATTCCCTAAGGCACTATGGTGATCATAAGTATACACTGCTTGTTCTGGTATTGTTCTTGCACTAGTCTTGCTCAAAAACAATATGACGTCATCAGATACTTCTAATGGTAAAGATATTGATTGAATTTCTAAAAATTAAAATTACTCTTTAATTGAAACGAAAAAATATTGAACGTAACTTGTGGTTAAAAATGTATAATTCTACTCAAGGTATATAAGAAAACTCGCTCTTATCGTTGCTCGTTTTCTTGAACACACTATTCATACAATTATACTACTCTTTATACACTCGTTTCGTTAATTAGTATTATTTACTTTCTACTAATTTAAGCGATTGCAATTGCTTAAAACGATTACAAATTTACATTTGCAGGTTGATCACTTAATGTTTAGTAGAAGGGCTACAGTGGAGTACGGGGAAGACAAAACATTAATTTCCAACGCGGCTTGTATTGATGCACTCCTCTATGTTGATATAACAGATTGGAGTGGGAAATGTATTTACGCAGTTTTACAATGGTGAACTACAAGTGTGAACCTCACAATTCAAACATCATCAAAAGGACGTACAACAGGCATATCATGGTCTCAGGCAATGCAACCAACTTACTAAAGCTCGCAGTCATTGCATTCACAACAACAGGCGCGAGATTTAAAAGTAGGTGGGCGGCCACAGCACAGTCCATTTTGACCGATATCTATCATCGGACGTGGGACGTGGTCGTCTAATATGACGGATTCGTTCAAACACATGCTGTTCAACGGAATTTGTCATAGTGATCTCCCAAAAAACCTCTTACGACGGCATTTGAAAACATCGGCATGCGAACGATCGGACGACTTTTCTTTGGTTCTGTCGGTTCCAATCGTCCGAAACCATCTGGAGAGTCAAGATCATCTGAATTACCAAAATCATCTTCAGTACATGCAGAAGACCTTGAGCGTGTTTCAGGAAAATATTTTTGAAAATGAGCGGTGAAAATAGGGAAATATTCGGTCTATTTCGAGCACAACATGCCGGTATTTTTCAAATAAGTTAAACGAATGCTGGCGTTTGTGCTTTACCGGTTAACCGATTCTTCGGCTGCAGTATGACCGTAGTCTAAGGGTTTTACAAATTGCCCCGGAGTGGAGACACCTCTTGGTACCGGACCCTTTCTGTCTTTTTTCAGGCGTCAATTGAGAGTTTTTTCTCCAAATTTAGTGATATTACTTCCAATTCACGTTTTTCCTCTACTAAAGCAAAAAAATGATCTATTAACATATAATACATTAGTCAGATTTCCAATTGTCAATTAGTAGTAAAATAAAGCATTTTGAATTGATATCTGAATGCATGAAGCATCGTTATTTTTAATCGTGTTTACTTAACAATGTAATAATTAACTCCATATTTTCAGGTTAGGTGTAACAGATGCTGTTAATATCATGTCTGTCCGAAAGTGAGTGTTGTTATTTTATAGAGACATGTTACCGGGAGCGATGACTCAGAATATCATCTAAAGTCTCTCCAGCGCCTCTGACTAGAAGGTCCTACATTCCAGTCCCGACGGTGGCGATTAGATTTTCTGCTAGGTCGAATTCAGTAACTATCCGGAGGTGAATTTTAGTGTCAGGCTGCTCTGCTCGGTAGTTTTCCGTATTTCTCCGATCAACAGCCGAATGTCGGAGCAGTGCTCTAACAACAGGCCGCGGAGCGTGCACGCTCTTTTCTTCCTCGTCTTTGTCCTATTCTCACCCCTTACTTACACACACACACACACACACACTAACATGCACTATACTACTACCCAAGCCTAGGGAAGCTTAGAGCTTGTCTCAGATGGGGCGGATCCAACTGAGCGGAGATACCTGGTTAAAGAATATCCCGTTAATCGACAGTAGATCGGCGCCGGATTTCGTCATCAAGCGGTGAAACATCACCGCCACCTCACGAGGGAGAAACATGCACTACACTTCCGGGACTAATGACATTATCAGTTGACGCGCCCGAATAAATAACAACTAACCAACCTCTAGAGACTTTTTAATTTATTTCCAATATTACTATAAACAACAAATAACTGAATGATTTAATAAAATAAAACACTAACGAAAACAAGGAAAGAAATCGCAATTCTTGTCTTATGACAAAAGTGTTATCAAAGAAAATATTTTAAAAGGAAATAAACATGAAATACTAATAATTAATAAAGAATATAATTATAAATTTCACATCGGTTGTATGATAGAACAAATCTGGCAAACATATTTTCTTATTTATTTATTTATTTAATAGGTAATTATTACAGACAAATTAGCTTACTTGATCCTATGTGGCTAGGCCGAAGACCTTTAAACCATTACAATACCTACATCCTTTCGCGTTCTAATCTTTCGAATTCTGGTATTCACCCCAAATGGTCTCTCCATCGCATCAAAGCCGCGGAAAAGAGACCATAAGGTACGGCTCAAGAAAAAACCCCTGAAGGGGGAAAAATCTGCCGTCAGAAGCCGAGTACATTCTAATCTATCCGACGTTTATTTTAGCTATTTTATTTTCTGGCGCGGGCGTCCTGCCGTCTCCTTCCAGTGCTTGGCCTCCGCAGCCTTTAGCGCGCGGCGATGGTGTAACGGTTAGCGCATAGGACTGTTGTAGCCAAGTTGGCGGGTTCAAACTCGATCGACGTGGATTTTTTGAATTGGGACAGCTGGGCCAATGCAAGTAATCTCTGGATGGTGCGTTTTCCTGGTTTTCTGTACGTTTCAGAATCATTCGCGACGACGAAAGAGTAGCACAGGGTGCAATTTCTAGAAGATCCGACAGAGAGCACTAAATCAGAAGCACAACCACAACCAGAATTGTTCTCGTTCTGTCCTGTACTTGTTTTGGCTTCGTGTGTGGAGGTCGTTTGTTGATGTGATATTGTGGAAGGCTAATAAGTTTACAGAATACTCGCAGAAATCATACTTCAGCATGTCGGCGGAACAACAACATTTTTTTTTGAAATGGAACGACTTCCAGTCAAATATGGTTTCATCATTCAAACATTTTATGGATGAAAAAAGTTTCACAGATGTTACCCTAGCTTGTGAAGGACAGACATGTAAAGCTCATAAAATGGTGTTATCAGCATGTAGTCCTTATTTCAAGTCCTTGTTGGAGGAAAATCCTTCCAAACATCCAATTATAATTTTGAAAGATGTTCCATACAGTCATTTGCAGGCCATATTGGAATTTATGTATTCTGGAGAAGTAAATGTATCACAGGAACAATTACCAGCATTTTTGAAGACTGCTGAGAGGTTGAAAGTGAAAGGACTCACTGAAGCCCCACAGTCCATAAAACGTGAAGGATAGAAATGTGCAGAGAGAATTTTAACATATTTTCTTATGTTACTGCACTCACTGTTCCACAAGTTGTAGACCTCTAAGGGCCGGTTTCACCAACAGCCAAGTAAAGTTGAGAGTAGTTACCCGAGAGTAACCATTTACTCCAAGATTGTAACTCTCGAGTAGAATATGAGCGTTTCACCATGCTTCTAGAGGGTTATTTTACTCTAGAGTACATACTCTCCTATTTACTCTGCAAATCAGCTGATAAACACAATATTTGAGGGTGATTCAAGAGGAAGTGAGTGAGAATGACACTGGGAACCAATGCGGACCAACGCGAACCTTTGTTTAATTCCTTATATTATATATTTCATTTCAGTTTCGGAGTTCTTGGCGTTGTAATCTGGTGTGGTGTTATGGTAGTTTGAGTTTATTTCCTAGTTTCTGTATCTTCATTTCTTAATAAATATTCATTCTTCTTCTCTGGAGACGAGTTACTATTTTGTTAGCAATGCAGAAAAATCAAATTTGCAGTTCGTTTACTGATGGCGGTGCAAATTAATTTTCTATAACTAGGGAACGAAAATGTTTAGTTTCTCAACTGTTGCTTCTAAATTTTATTATTATTTGTTGTTTTATTTTTTTAACTTTTATTCACCTTTCAACTATTTGTAGTTAAAATGTTGGAAAGGGATTCTGGAACTCAAGAAAACGTGGGCAAATGATCTCCTCTATACGTCACATACAGTTTTTACTTAATAAATAAATGAATATTTCTTAGTGCTTGTAGTTCCTGTAGTTATTATTTTTCCTTTTGTTGTCGTATTCGGTACGTACTACCTTTATTTCGTATCCACATGGGAGAAAAATAACTTTAGAAGTTCTCTACAGTTTACAATGTATCTGATGAAGTTAAACAGATGATTTGGTCAAACATAACCTCATGACAAAATCTCGATCGTCATAATTAAAACCAATCCATTCTCTCTCGCACCCTTTGTCTTCGCACTAGTGGATAATATTCCCAATCATTGCTGGAATCGTCTACAAATACTATCATTCGTAATCGTCGAACCGTAACAACACTTTGGAGGTATATGCACGTTGAAAACTGAATTTACTCCGTACTTTATCCGACGGATTTTCGCGGTGTAAAGTTACTCTCGAATTTACTCTCGTGTAAGCGATTGACACTCGAGTAAAGTGTTGGTGAAACGCTCCAAGAAGTTACTGTCGAGTAAACATGATTTACTCTTTGTTGGGTGAAACCGGCCCTAACTGATATTGGAGGGGACAAAAGAGCAGAGGCAGGGGAAGTGGCCACACTTCCCCTGGCCAGAAGTGGCCAGGGGAAGTGTCTCAGAAGCACCGAAGACGAGCAAGTAGTTCGTGCGGGCACGGTTTGAACAGCCTGATGTAGAAGAACATTGCAGTGAGAATACTGTTTTAATTTCCTTTTAAACTAGGATGAATATTTCATTCTTTCATTATATCATACATCTGTGTAAGATTTAATTTATGAATCAAAGCCCAACTCACGGAAGAACCTACTACACAAAAAAATCTCATTCCGTTAATGAAATAAAGGCTGCTCCCACAAAATCTCCGACGAAAACCGAGACCGCACTCTAGTGGAGAAGGGCGAAACGCTCGTGTTCCGGGCGGGACGGTCACGCGAGCGTCAGATGTTTTAATTTCGACCTCGGGATTTGTTATTACGCTGCTTTTACCCGCGCCGCCGCTTCCATCGCCACCGCCACCGTCGTCTGGGAAGTCGGAAGTCGGATTTCTCGCGCAAGGCGAAGATTGCATCTTTGATCTCTGAGAATCCACTTATTTTTATCCGTCTCCGCGACGTAGTTTACATGAGGCCCCCTTAATTGCGAGGAGCGGGGCTGAAAGGAGGTCAAAGGCGTCCCGACTCACTCTTGAGGGTGCTGCTGCTCCTTACAGCGCTCCACGCGGACGCGTCTGTTACTAATGAGATTTGCATGAGTCACAATCGTCAGAATAACTGAATCATTTATTTCAGAAACTCGTCAATCGTCAAATTCCTCATTTCGAATGAACTCAGAAAAAAGGCTCCCAATTTTTCTGAATTCTAAGTATTTTTATTTATTAAAGAAGTTAATAAATACATATTTTCAATATAAATATGAACTAAACGATGTGTCTATCCTCTTGGAGCAATAACCTGCAATTAATGCGCATTTTAGATTTTGGAGTTAGACGGGTTTCTTAAATAAACGATTCAATTGTTGTCTTTCAGAATTTGTGGTCTTGAAATAATTTTTAGGCAACGTTTGTTGAGATTTGACGTTTGGGTTTTAATGACATTTAAAATGCCACATGACATTATATAATAATTCGTTACAAATTGTTATATTCGTTATAAATTGACTTCGATACATCGAAAGCTTAATAAAATTTAAATAATTTTCTTACTTCAAAAAACTAGTTGTGGTGAACACTATATACGTATTAGATTTATTTCTAATTTTTGCAGTTTTCAAAAATTCAGAAATCAACCGAACATGAGACCTGGTCAATTGTTTCTAAGGTCCGTTGTTTAATCTTCGAAAAAAATTTGGAAGAGTTTTTTAAAACAATGTTTTTATAAATTGCATTAACTTCAAAAACTTAAAAACTGGACCATTTTTAGCAAAACAATTGTTTTAAAGATGCTTATATTTAATACTAAATAACGGAAAGGCATTCATATTTTAGAAAAAAGTCCGGCATAAAGGCGTTTTTCCCTCATACAATTTCTAGGTTCAAGAACCCACAAAATGTTGAACGTGTTAAACGTAGTAATGTACTGTATATACGAACTACAATTATGCTCCTTTTCGTTACTAAGGCCCCATAGTAAGAGATTTTCTCCCAAAAAATTGCCAATTATTGTTGCAGTATTGCAATACTTTCTCTTAATTACGTAAGTATGTAGTATGTGAAAAAGCAAAAATATTTCGAAAATTGTAAGAAAGGAAAAACAGAGTGCCTTAATTTTGTTTCGAGTACAGCAGGTTTCTGAACAAAATATGCTATAAAAATGTTCAAAAATGTTTTAAATTTGCATAGCAAAACCAATTTTAATACAGAAGCATTTCAGCACTAGCTAAAATATGCAAAACACACTTCTCTGTATCTGAGCGCACAAATCATTCAATTATCTTCATAATACATTTAAATTTCCTATCATGTGTTCTTTGCCGTAGCACGATTAAAATGATTCACTATTCATAATGCTGTCTTTAATAATATTATCAGATTGGTCATCCAGTCACAAGTAATTGCCAGCGCAAAACAACATGTACATACTGTTACATAATTGTCTTTTAGTTACGACGGACTTAAGCCTTCATAAACCCACTTTTTATATCAATGAATTAACAAGTGTGAATCAAATTTTCTAGGACAAAAACATTTTATTATTCGTAGTGAGTCTGCTTTTGAATTTATGCTACAATGAGTTATAGGGTACACCCGGATAAGATGGTAAAAGTTTTTCTAAGTAACATGAGTAGTTATACTATAACTCTGATAACAATCTAACGAAATAATTGCACAGAATTGTTGCAGTCAGATTCAAGTATATTTAAAGTCAATGTAATTTAAAGACTGGAAAATGGTAAAACATAATTAAATACGGCCCGGCAGTATAAGAAATCTAAACAATATTACAACAATCTGTATTTTGAGAGATTTTTTTAACATGTTTCAAGGTTCTTTGCCACAGAAAACATTTTAAAAAATATTGTTTTGCGTTTGAATATGGGCTTAGAAAATACTCAAAACTGTTTTTTCTAATAGTATAAATTATTTTATTATTTTCATTTATTTTCAATAAGATAAAATGGTGTTGACGATAGAAATTAAAATTAAATACGCATGTTTTTCCTGTAGAGGAGTGTGGATGATGTTAAGTTGACGATAGAAATTAAAATTAAAAACGCATGTTTTTCCTGTAGAGGAGTGTGGATGGTGTGACGGGGGCCATGAAACCTTTCCAAAATTCTATTTTTATGTTAGTTTTAGTGTAACTACTCATATGTCATTTGGTTTTAGGCAACATTTAAAGTCCATCTTATCCGGAGGTACCCTTTATATAAGCCGCACAAATCTTCATTGTCTTGCTTTGAAGTATTCATGGATTCCTCTGAATTGAATGTACACATGTTCTTGTAGAATCAAAACATGTTTGTAATTACTTTAGATAATCTACTTTATATGCGTTAACCAATTAGAACAATGGAAGCTCTTATTCAAACTTTTTCACCTTGGCATGCTACTTGAACATATAAGTGATAACGTATCAACTTCTGCAAATACCATTAAAAAATTGTACCATTCACAACAGACCATTTCGATTGGATATTGAAACACTTGTGTGTTAAATAATAGAGAAATTTAATAAATAAAATATACGTATCGACAGTTATGATAAAATTAAATTCTGCGACGTTTCCTTATACAAAGAAGAGCCCCGTGTGAAGGTCTAAGACGTGATTGTGGAAACGGAGTATTTTTAAAATATATTACATAATTCCTCGTTTTGGCAGAAAAGGCTATCTTAGGTAGCATTGTCATCAAGTGTCATTGTATGTTTATACGTGTTGTAAGATGCAATCCTTTTTTTGACAACCATACAAAGATTAATATACATATAAACACAATAAAAAAGAACTAATAAACACTAATAGACATTTACATATTTTTATTTTCAGTATGTTACACATTTTTGCAATTTTTAATTATTTTGTCGTTTTTTATTTCTGAGATCATACGTTCCTAGAAAGCAGGGAAAACTTTATAGAGAAGGCGAGCATCAAATGCGATAAATATAAGTTCGGGGTTTCTTGAATAAAATTTTGAGGAAAAATCAATCACTTCATACTTAATATAATTTTTTTAAGTACATGTTGCCAATTCCTGTTCAATATTCAAGTCTACTTTTACTTGTGAAACTTTGCAACTAAAAAAACCAAAGGTAAACAGCAACATAACCTTACACAATACCCAAT